CCTGACACCAATTGTAGTACACCAATCCTTATAAATGTAGCCTCTCCAATAGCTGTAAGTTGTCATCAGTTCTGGACTGTCATTTATTTTTTCCATTCAAAATAAACAATCTTTTATTTCAAGGTTTGATTTATTGAAAGCGTTAAGTGAGAATGGTAAAGACCTCACTTACCTTTGAAGAAGAAATTGGAATTTTTCTTTTAGAATGGATACCAGAAATTGTACATGCACATAAGTAAGTTGATTCATTCAAATTTGTTATTCGCCCATTCAATGAACAATTTTCTTTTGTAATTGTACTTTCTGCAGTCCAGATTAAACTCATGCTTGATTCTTGGGACATTATTAATTGTTTTTGCGATCCATTTACTCTAGAGAAAACGACTTACTGGCTTTGCTGGTCAATGTCATCAAGTTTAATGCTTGCTATCTTGAAGAGGAAATTATATCAGGATTCGTACAGTAAGTTATTGGTAGATTTCAATGTATAGACACTAATATATTTATTGCAAAGCAAAAGGCCATTGGCCCAAAGAGCAAATACAGTTTCACTTAACAATAGTAACAATAAAAATAATTCAAAATGATTTAAAATTACATCGTTTCTTGAACTCATGAGCGAGATAAATTTGTTGTAAGTGGGGTTGGTGCAAAACCATACAAATTCTGCTCTAATACGTTGATAACGATGGCAAATAGCTATAAAATGATATTTGTCTTCAATATAAAGTTGATTGCGTTCAACACAGTATTCACACCAGGGTTTTACATGACACAATATATTGCGTCATTGATGCATAATTATGACCATATGACCCTCATAAATCAGCAGTGCAGTGCTAAATGGGCTCTTGTAACACTAGAACCTCCCTCAATTTCAAATGGAACACTCCAATCTTACACCAATCACAAAAAATGTACTACGTAGACGCTTTGTGTTTATACTTTTTCAAGGTGTTAGCTTGTTTCTGATTGGCTCTAAATTTCTAATGGTTCTCAACATTAAACATGGCGACAGTGCCAAGGCAGGCCGATCTCCGTTGTTTCTTTGGCGGCAGACCATCCAGTTTGTCTACTAGTTCTCCCATTGAAGCTTCACCAGCTACGTCCAGTGAAAAGTCTCACGTTTTACCAAAGAAGGATTTTTCTTTCAACAATGGGTGGCTAAATCGTTTTAAATGGCTTTGTTACATATCAGACCGAAATGTTATGAAATGTGAAGTTTGTGTGAGAGCGAAAAACCCTTTCACTAACGGGTGTTCAAATTTTCGAAACTCAACTCTCATCCGGCATCAAGACTCTAGAAGTCACATAAACAGTGTACATGTGTTGTTCATGAAGTCAGACTTTACGACCGCTCGTCAGGTAGCAAACGAGAGGAAATATTAAGGTACAAGTGACAATCTGAAATCATACGCAGCACAGCTGCGAACTGTTTATGTTATGGCTAAACGGGATCTACCTTGTGATATTTTTACCGATTTCATGCATGTTCAGAATTTGTTGTGTGAATAAAGACCTTGATAAAACTTAGTAAATTACCGAATTCGGCTGATACCCCGCCCATCCCAAACCCCGCCCATGGGCGATGTTTCAAATAGTGGGCGATGTCTTGGTCCACACATTGCCTGACTGAACCAACAAACATTTTTACAGACCCCAATTTTCCTGTGCGACATCTTGCATTGAGCGCGCTATTTCAAATATGACGCTAACAATAATTCACTGTGAAGTCGAAAAACATAAAACTCCAATAAATTCAATGCTGTATACGAATTGTTGTAGCGTATTATGACATTTCACTTATGTTTATTACACTCGAATAAAGTCTACGCTTGAAAAGAATGCTATTTATGAAGTTTAAAATAGCCAAGCCTTCCTGATTCGAGCGTCTTGGTTGATTTAACTACGGTAGGTATCAGTAATGTTTAATCTTTGTCTGTATCACATTCCATACAAAAAGTTCAAGATCGGTAAACATGAATTGGACGAACTGAAATGTCTCCTGCGTTTTACATGCGACATGATTATTAAAAAAACACAGAGTTAAGCGGTCATGTACATTCTATAAATCTAACCTTGCACACATAATCTTCCGTTTTTTTGTCAAAAAAGACGTTTGTTCCCTTTCAGTAACCCGCAGTTATACTCTTCGCGTTCATGGTATTTGTGAGAGTTGAAAGATTTTTTGAACAAATGACAAGTAACTATATTGATTTGCGTCAAGCTGTGTGGCTTGTGGTGGTATATTACATGTTCACTTCATTTCGAATAAAATAATTCACCATTGGAATTTAAAATATTTTCTTGACTTTCCGTAGACACCTGACTACTATCTTTTTCAATGATTTAAATGTGCCCATGTTTATGTTTGCGTAATTATTACAAATGCATCGCATTATCAAGTCGGTAATATTGAAATATTCACAAACCCAGTACCTCTTGTCAGTGCCCTAACAATAGTAAAAATAACTTGAGTTTACGTAATTATCATGAAAGCAATACATTACAAAGTTGAAATATTCAGAGCCGGTAGAACATTGTAAACAAATTCACGTAATTAAAAAAGCAGTGCACTAAGTAAACGTTGATATATTCAAAGCCAGTACAGAGTTGCATACAAGTTGCGCAATTACAGTACCTTGGGATATAATAACAATTTTACTAGATCGACGCGCAGAGCACGAAAGAAAAGGGTTGCTAAGGTAACACACCAGTTCAGTGCGTGACTTGGGGTAAAACTTCGGTCAACACCACGCAGCAAGTTTCGCAAAGAATTACTTGAAGTTCAATTGCGTCCCAAAATGATGTCGCTGATCACTCTGTTGTCACAGCGTGTGCTGTGTCATGTACATGATGCACCCCGTTTCGACTTTGGCTTGCTTTTCCTTCTCAGTGCATGTTCTTGTTCAGGTAAAATGCGACCTCTCACCAATGTATTAAAACACTTTGAATTTATACTTTGCATGATTATATTTGGTCAACGTTATTTTTTCTAAACATTTTCTGAGACCATTTCTTTCAACGCAGGGTAATTTTCCCAGTCAAGATGGACTTCGTAATAACTGCCATAACATCGCCCGGGCGATCTTTTGGTCCACATTTTATTTTTAAAAAATCGAATCCTCCATAAGATCTCCCAGGGCGGGGTATCAGCCGAATCCGATAGATGATTTTTTTCATACTGGTACCTCCTCCATTGAACTCAAATCATGTCATTAACTCTCCATTGTATTGTTTTTCCCTATTTAACAGATATCAATTTCTTGATTTGTGTATGACCCCAAAATGTCCAGACAAGGGGTCCCAATGACCCCCACATCTAAAAAATGATGTAAAACCCTGCACACAATCAATTATCAAAGGGGACATTTTCATGTCTTCCCTTTTCATTACGCAAATTGTGAGAAGAACAACGTAACCTTGACAATGCAGCTCTGAATTTGAAAACATTATATTTGTCTTGCTCAAGTGACGACTTAAAATTGACACTATTACTAGACAAAGGATATAGACACTATTACTATACTGTGTTTTTTGCGGTAACCTGGTTATGGCGTGGTATATTGACTACAAATTATTAAGTGTGGGTTGACATGCTCCCTAATTCGTGATAGCTGTAGTACTAATCATGATTAGTTAAATCAGGGTCATGTGATGGTTTGTCATGTGAACCACTCACCCTCATTCAAGATTGCCATGGTTTACATGCTGTAACCAGGGATTTTTTTAAACAAGGGAACAGGGGGGCAGCGCCCTCATGCCATGGCTATGCACCCCTTACCCTGGGGAGCAGATCCTCTGGCAACCATCAAATTCTGAATGACCAAGGATCACATGTAGCCACAGTCTTTAACTGTGACCTGTCTGATAGTAATTTTGGCCCCAAGGAAGCCATAGAATGCTCAATTTTAACTTAGAATTATCAAAAACTTCACACCCTAGTAGGGAGAACCCTATCTTTACTTAGTGGTGCCGCTGAAATGCAGTGCTCTCTCTTGCAGTTTTTTTCCAGAAAAACCCCCTGCTGTAACCATCACATGACTATGTTTTATATAACTTTAATATATTGTTACTTCTTTTATTTTATATTTCTTGTACTTTTATTTCAGACATACATGTGTTATCTGCACCAGTCAAAAGACTGAAGCAAATATAGAAGTTTCATTACGAGTTTTAGATGCTGTCGTTTGCTACAGTTGTTTACCTGTCGACTCGCTGCACCATTTCATCACAGCTCTTTGTAGAACTGTCAATGTAGTAAGATTCTGTCAAACTAGCTGGAAGGTAAAATGATGTCTGCCAGTGAGGGCACTCTTTGTTTATAATTTGAGATATTCTGTTTGAGCTTCGTATCAGTATATCATGTGCTGGCAACAGTATTGTCAGAATGGACAGAAATATCCCAGTCATGTGGCTATGTCTCTAATGTATACAGTACAGTTCTCGCGGAAGCTTTGGCTTCACTTCAGCTTCAGCATCGCATCATTATGGCATTGTTATGGCTTCAGCATCGCTTCAATGTCGCGACATTAAAAAGTTAGGCGAATATCGCTTCGCTTCATTGTGGCCTCATTATGGCGACAATGTGGCATCAGCATCGCTTCATCAAACAAAGAAGTACTGTACTCATTTCCCCCAAACCTCTTGACCGCTTCCGCTTTTGACCGATCAATTTCCGTTTCATTTTCGACCGTGCAACAATTCGGACTACTAAAA